TACAAAGACTACGATACTGCTTTTTAGTCTGAGCTTCTGCTGGTGAGTGCAGATGCCTTTGTACCTCTGGCAAAACATGTAAAGGAGTTAACGTGACCACGCGGAGTTAGTCACAGTAGCTTTTTAATTTTCATTGTCTTTGTAACTTAGGCTTTGCTATTGGCCTGCCAGGATCTATATAAGCCTGTGAACACAGCGTCAGTGGAAGGAACTTGGTAAAAGTGCATCACATGTCATGCTGCAACAGAGTCTCGAAACCTTAAAAAAATAGATTTTTTTTGTATTGTTTTATTTTTGTTGACTTTCGTGAAGTTTTTTTTCTCCTAAGTTCCTTAAATGCCTGACCTTGTGCGACAAAGGCAAGAGTAATTAGAAACTCGAATGTTGGCAAATCTTCCTGGAAAGTTTTGCATCCCCACTTCCATCAGTCGATGGGAATTGTAAGACTATTAGCGTAAAGAGAAGAGGAGGGTTAATTTTGATAATGTACATTCTTTAAAGATATTAAGTACTTGATGAATACCTTCAAAAGGAAGTAAACTTCAGGGGAGTAGGAATCATTAAATTGAATAAAGGTTGTTTTCTTCAGTGCCGAGGCCATTACATACTGAAGTAACCCAAGCAAATGTTCACTTGTACAAAGAATTTTTCCCCACTTCCTTCAAGCAATGTCTTTCCCCCATCTATGCATTTTCATGTTCCTTGTACTTCTCACTAAGTCTCACCAGCAGAAGGCGAGTAAAGCTTTCGAGGACTACCAGGTTATCGTCTATACCGGCCGCAGCCGAGCTTCGAGGGGAGGGTGTAAAAGCTCGCGCCGTGCCCGCATTGCAGCTGAGCTGTGCGCTTTGTCAGCGAAGCTGCAGTAATTCCAGGCAGCTCCTGGGGCTGTATTTTGACTTTTTTTTTTTTTTTTTTAATGAGTTGCTACTGCTACAGAAGCAGCGATGCCGGCCTTGCCGCGGCTTTGGCGGTCGCGCTTCCGCGCCGTGCTCTCTCCTGCGGTGACAGGAGAAGCCTGTGTGCAGCCTCCCACCAGAGGATTGAGGGACCTGATCTGCAGAGAGGTGGCTGGGGATAGAAGCGAGCCGAGGAGAGGACAGGAGAAGCGGAAGCGCTTCTGGTAGCAGCACTGACTTTGTAGATTTAAAGTGTTCTTTCAACTACAGGTTGACCTGATGCTCTGCCAAGAAGTTGCCTTTCGGTGGGATCAGTTTGCTTTGGCACAACAGGAATAACAGAAGCTATTCTTGCTCTTGGGTGTCACAGCGATCTGGGTGATGTCCCAGAAGGAGTAAATCATGGAATCATGGAATGGTTTGGGTTGGAAGAGACCTTGAAGACCATCCAGTTCCAACCCCCCTGCCATGGGCAGGGACACCTTCCACCAGCCCAGGTTGCTCCAAGCCCCGTCCAACCCAGCCTTGAACACCTCCAGGGATGGGGCAGCCACAGCTTCTCGGGGCAACCTGGGCCAGTGCCTCACTACCCTCACAGTCAAGAATTTCTTCCTAATATCTCATCTAAATCTACCGTCTTCCAATTTATAGCCATCCCCCCTCATCCTATCACTACATGCCCTTGTAAAAGTCCCTCCCCAGCTCTCCTGGAGCCCCTTTAGGCACTGGAAGGCCGCAATAAGGTCTCCCCGGAGCCTTCTCTTCTCCAGGCTGAACCACCCCAACTCTCTTAGCCTCTCCTCATAGGAGAGGTGCTCCAGCCCTCGCATCATCTTTGTAATGATGGCACAGCAGGATTGATGCTGAACTGGACAGTGGCTGAAGAACTTCCGTTCCATGAGGATCACTCCATGAGGCAACTGAATACAAAGGCAAAAGTAGCATGGACTTCCTTGGGTGATTTTCAGACAGTAGCAGTGAGACTTAGCGCTTGCCTCGTGGGGAAAAAAGTGACTGAATTTCCATTGTCTTAGAAAAGGTTGGTGATTTCTGTGATGTACAAGAAAAATGTGGGCTTTCCTGGTGTGGCAAAAATATGTAGGGTGACACCTTAATAAGCACTGTGAGCAGCAGTGGTACGTGTGTGTGTTTGTAGCACGCTACGGGATACAAGAGGTTGACGCCTCTAGCTCGGTGGTAGAGGAGGAAAAGAGCTGAAGGAATGGGGCTCTGCAGGGGAAACACTTGAAGAACCAAGCTTGGAGGGCTTAGTACTATGTTCTTTTATGAAAGAAGTACAAGTGAGCCTGTAAAAGAAAGGTAGTTACGGTATACGTCGGCTTTGTGGGGAGGAGCAGTCCCTAAGCTGTACAGTTTTGCTTAGCAGACGACTGTGATTTCATCTCCGCCCACCACTTTTTGGTAGGCACGGGAGAGAAAAAGGGCAGCGCCAGAAACCCTTGTTGTTCAAAAATACAAGAGACCAGTTGACAGGAACGGAGGAGTTGCATCGATTAAATCTGAGCTTCCGTCATCATAAGTAGCAGGGATCAGCCATGTGGGTTGGGAAATAATTACAGCATTGGTTCTGATTACGGGGGAACAAAGCTTGCTTTAAGGCTCCGGTCGCTCTGGCCCTCAGCGTTTGAAGTGCAGTGTTTGCTTCTGCTGCTTACTTTATTTAAGGAAGTACAGAATTTGAACGCGCGCAGTGGGAACTGTACTTAGGCTGTAGTTGCTTTCTGTAACCTTTTTACTCGACCTCACGTATTCGTTTTGCTTATGTTTTAACGGCTTAAAAAAACCCCCACGTGTTGCAAGGAAACCCGCATAATCTCTGCGATAATATTAACTTTCAGCTGCTTAACGTGGTACCTGTGTCTTAGAGGCACGAATACAGGTATTTTAAGAGATTGCTGCTCCTTAAGCCGTGGGACAGGTCTGGCTTTCTCCATCCTTTGGCACACGGGAAACTAAAAAAGAAGCTTGTCCTCAACTTTTTGCTTTCAGCGGCACGTTGCGCACGCGTAATTCGTGTGGGTCATGCGGCAGTGCAGTTTCTCTGCTCCTCTGTGGACTTCAGCCTGCTGGCAAGGAGCGAAACAGGTTAATAACGTGTCATAGCAATGCATCAGCTGTGAGGAGTCAAAGTTACCGCTCCCGCTCTCATAAAAAGTGTCGGTGAGTGAATCGGTGAGATTAGGTATGAGAACAGGTCTTTGTTCTCAAACAACGAGAAGAGCGCTGTGTGTTTTCCCCACAAAATACGATTTCAAAGCTTTCAACCGCCGTGGGTAGTAATTATGGTTATTTAATACTCAGATGAAAAAAAACAAGGAAGATTAGAGCTTTCTGAAGGTTTTTCAGCCTGCAGAAAATTCACGGACATGCGCAGCGTTCCTCATGTTGATGATTATGGTTAACCTCGCCCCACAATTCTGGCCAAAAACTCATCCTTGATCCAGGCGCTCCTGCCCACCCCTGGGCTCTGCCGCTCGGGAGTAAGAGCGTTCCTCTGGAATGAGGAAGATGTGGTTGCTGCTGCTTTACCCACAGAATGGGATTTGAAATCGCGTTTCTCGTGAACGTTTCCTTACTACCAGACGGCGTAAAGGACATTCTCCTTCTTTTGGCAGCTTGTGAATGCAGCCTGCCTTCAGTTCCTTTGCGTTTCTCCTGGTGGCACTTCTGAATTTGACCACAAAAAATCCACCCGTGCTGCTTAAAGGAAGGGAGAATTAAATGGAGTTACTTCAGAAACGCGCTTGGATGGCTGTGTCTGCAGCCGTTGGACCCACTCCCATTAAATGCCTCCTGCGAAGTGCCAAGTGCTTTAAAATCCTGCTGGGAATTGCAAGCTTGAACTCTGTGGATGGACAAATAAAAAGACCAGAAAGCTGCTGGGTTTATTTCGCAATTTAAATGACTATGAACTGCTTAGAGACAAGTAAAGCGATTAAAAATCGCGCAGCGCTCAGCTTGCTGCAAGTTACACAAATACCTGAGTATCGCTTATGATGCCTGCAATATGGAAAAGAGGAGGATGCTTGAGGGCAGTGGCAGTATCTGTTGCTGTCACCTGCCCGGTGTACTGTGAAAAATACCGCCGGATTGTGAAAAATAGGTGGGCGATTCAGTTACAACAGGCTGTCGTTTTATATTTTTCCCTTGGGTGGAATAGGGAGAGTGGAAAGAGGGAGATCCACTTTCCGTGGCTGAAATTTATGAGAGAGAAAGTATCCTATTCCTATTTAATGTGAATTACCTGATTTATGTGAAATACCTGTTTTAGTGGTAAATTGGCAGCGTTAGGTTAATGCTTGCTCTTGATGATCTTAAGGGTCTCTTCCAACCAAAACCATTCTATGAAAAGGATTTAGGTTCTAACTTTCTTAGGTTGCTTTTTTTTGAAAATCTGAGCTCTTCTTTCATGAATTTTCTTTCCCTTTTTGAATGAGGTTACAAAACCTCAAAGCTTAGTGAAGACTTGCTCAGCAGAAAGCAGCAGAGCCAAGGACCGATATAATTTGCAAGCCGCGTGTAATCGGCAACCACTTTGGTCCACTTGTGCATTTGGTTTTCTGTTTGATACCAGTTATCCCAGAAGGGGGAGAGTCCAGGGTTCAGGACAGCTACATCAGCCGGGAATAATCCTGATTGAATAGACACATCCTGTGTAAATTTGGCTAAGTCCTGGGATTTCTCTGAGTTGGTAATACCTCAGTGCGGCAAGATAAAGCTAGAGTAAAGAGAAGGCAGATTTGCACTCAGATTTTGAAATAATTGGCTCTCTGGAGATACCCATGGTAGTAGTCTGGGAAAATGTGAAACTATGGGAAAGGAAGGAATCTCATAGGGATACTCGCAGAATACGGTTTGTTTTGAGGTCTTTGTTGCTATGAGAAAAAAGGTTATTGGAGAAGTTTGTCACACAGTGCCTCGGCTTAAATAGCCAAGTCCAAAATATCTGACTTATTTAGACAGTCAGCTAAGAGATGTAACAGTATTCCAGCTACTAATCATCTTCTTATACCAGGATAAGGTAGGAATGTGTATCTTCAGAACTGATATTTGTAACCGATACGGCCCTTGTGTTTGCAGAATGGACTCAATGCTCTGCACCTGGCGGCGAAAGAAGGCCATGTGGGACTGGTACAAGAATTACTGGAAAGAGGGTCGGCTGTGGATTCTGCCACTAAGGTAATTCATGCATGTCTGTAAGTTGTTCAAATACGTTGGAAAAAATTAGAAAAAAAAAAAAAAAAGTACAAAATAAGATGATAATATAAGTACCTCACTGATATTTTAAATGTTATTTCTGCTATGGCCTGTGAGTCTGTGTTCTTTGCTGAAGCTCATCGGTAGTAGATAAAGAGATGAAGATTATTAATTGTACAATCTGTTTAAGGGGGAAGCATTAAAAGGTTTTAGCAATGCCAGATTTTTCATTATTTCCAATGACAGGTCCCCATTATAGAGATAGTGAATATACCTCAAAATATTAGATTTTTATTTTTTTTTTTCAAATCTGTGAAAATTGGTTATCGACTGTATCGTGTCCAGAGCCTTTTCACTCAAGGGCGCAATGGAAAAAACACCTGTGTGAGAAGTTGTTTTGCCTTCAGCCTTTCCACAGGCAGGCACATGTGTATGTCCAAACCATTCCATCAGTAAGTTATTTGTCTATGGGTGGCAAATTCCTTGTGATGGGCCAGATTTGTTGACTTGAAGGATGTAATGTCTAGGTTGGCTGGCTGTGCTCAGCTTTTGCATCTGTTTGCCACCACTGTGTCCCTGTGGCACTCTTGTATTTTTTTTATGATTTCTGATGCACAGGATCTCCATCAAGATCAACACTTGGAGAGCTTCTTGCTGAACTTGTGCTTTCCATCATTGATGGAAGAGCAGAAGTTCCCTCCTTCAAAAACATCCTGAGTCACCCCTCAGTGAAGCTGTTGGTAGAACCACCAGGTTCTAGATAAGGACTGGAGTTTTATTCTGGTTTTATGAACCTTGACTCTTTAATAAACCCATTTAAATATTGCTCCCAGGATTAGTGATTGGCCTGGAAATTGGGATCTCTGGACCTGAATGAAAAAACCTATTAGCCCATACTAAACTTTGCCTAGAAGTTTGTCCCATGCCCCAATCCCATCCCATAATTTCACTCACAAATTTATGTAAGGATGTTAGCGTTACACAACCGTTCAAGAAATCATGGCTGCACCCACCGGTTCTGTCTCCTGTGATGTTCGTAGAACATCATGGAACTGTAAGGTAAAATTGTACTCAAAAAATGAATGTTAGAAAGAACTACGCGTTTGAAATTATTCCTGAAGAAACGTAATGTCTTTAATTTTTTTCCCTCCCTATAACAGAAAGGGAATACAGCCCTGCACATTGCGTCCTTAGCAGGACAAGCTGAAGTTGTCAAAGTTCTGGTTAAGGAAGGAGCCAATATTAATGCACAATCTCAGGTACGATGCTATTTTCCCTTCTCTCTTCTAAAAGTTATTTTGTGAGATTTTATAAGATAGATCTGAGATGTTAGGCAGCGATTCCAAACGTCCAAGCCTAACAAATCGATCACGTTGAGGCTTACATAGTATTCACCGGTAAGCAGAATAAAAGTAAATAACAAATTGAAGTCATTGTATACTCATTGTGTGATAAAGGAACTCACGTTGTTGTTGACTGAAATCTTTTGGGAATTCCTAGCATGCTTTAATAAATTGTTTCAGAAATTTTTCAAAGCGTAGAAATGTAACGTCGTATGTTTGAGTTGAATTTGGTGAAGGCAATTTCTCAAAGACTTGATTTATACAATTGCTTTTCACGGTTATTTGTTGGCTAAAAATTAGCAGAAAACTTACTCCGGGCTTCTGAACTCGTTCTTTACATGATCAGAAAGAATTTAAATCAAAAGTTTGGAATGTACTTTTGAATGGGGGAAATTCACCTTGTCCTGCCAGGCAAACCAACTGTAAAAACAGCCCCGTTATTTCCACTGACGTGAAGCTTGTCCGCTCTTTTTCGCTCTTCAAAAACGTACCAGGGAGCGCGGTGATGTTGGCAGAGACTGACCGACAGCCGGTTCTTCTCTCCCTCCTTTGGGTGAGGCTGTAGAGGCAGCTGCCTGCTGTGATTTCAGAGCTGTCAACACCATGTGCTGGATTTGCAGCCAACACCGTACCGCAAACTAGCCAGATTCGGTTATTTTCCGAGCTAACTGTCCCCATCTCCTCTGCCCCGTCAAGCAGACGAGCCATTAGCACCGTAGATTAATTGCCCGAGTTACCCTGACACATATTTGAGATACCTATTATTTCCTCTGTTTAGGATTAGGAACAATTCATCAAATAAATAATTTGATTGATGTTTGTAAGTGCTACCTTACCTGTGGCACCTGTCTGTAGCTATGAAGAACCGAACAGATGGTATAGAGGAGGACTATATATGATAAAGAAAGTGCATCTTCCCGAAGCGACTAGTCAGCTCGTGACATTCTCAAAGTAAATCATCGAGCTAACTAACAGCGTTCAGATTGAGTCCTAGCACGTCATTCTATGACCACAAATACCATTTTTGCAGTAATGGTGTAAGCTTAAGACGATGACAAAAACAAGTCACGCTTCAGGGGGAGATGAATTTCGAATGAAATCTGCCCAGCTCTTACGTCTATAAGCGAGATAATGGCCCTTAGCTTGATCTTGCTGAGATACGTGGGCAGAACAAGAAGAGAGCGATGTGATTTAACAGCGCAGCGAGGAACTACTTTAGTTGAGGAGAGTGTCCAGATGCTTTTCTCGGTCCTCTTCTGTGGCACGTTCCCTGATCGTTAGGAGCGCGGCTGAGTTTGTAAAAGGTTTTGATTCGTCAGAGTCCATCCCAAGTCTGCTAGCTCCACGCCTTGCTTGCCCAGACCTGGGGAACTGGGACCTGGAGGGGTTTTTTATTGTGCTGTTGGATATTACAAACTTGTGGTGGACAAGAGTAAAGTAAGTAGAGAGCAGGAGATGAACAAATGTGTTTATAGAATGAATAGGTTTGTCTGTATTGTCGTTACATTTTAAAACAAGAGAGAGAAATTGAAAAGATCTTTAAGCTGCCTGACTCCAAGATTTTTTTTTAAAGTATTCCATTATTATGCTTTTTGCCCCAAAGTGCCTGCTAAAGAGCTCTCTCAGGACAACTGATGGTCAGTTCCATCCCCCATGCTCTACTTCCATTAAAGATAAGAAATGTTGCGATTCCATTGCTCAAAAATTGAGCAAACTCCTTTCATAATGATAACTGAATGCTTTCTTCATACATTTATCAGCCTTTTCATATGTATAAGAAGATAAAGCAATGTCTTTAACATTAGGATTTTGAGCATGGTAAGAGAAATAATTGTAAAAATGATACTTCCATGAAGCCTTATACCTCAAAAGTCTTCATAAAGGCTTTTTGCTATGCTGGAAAAATAAATGAAGTTGTCTAAATTAAAAAAAAATCCTACCAGAATTGGAAATTGTTTTCATAGGTATTATTTTATACAGTATTCTAGTTTTAAACACATTTATTATTAGAACTGGATGTTCTGTGTAATGTACACAGACCTTTCATGGGGCATTTGCTACTTGAATTAATTGAACGAAAATCTGATGGAGGACGTTTTCTCCCCAATACCGTTCACCGGTTGCCTCCAGACAGGATGAATTCCAGTTGCTGGGATATATATACGCATCCTGGATTTCTGCCACCTTGTCTGAATTAAACGAGTCCCGTTGACTTGAATGGGAGGGTGAGTCCTTAACGCAGCGTGATCCAGCTGTGGGGACCTTTGGGTTGGGTCTTTCTGGCCTGCTGCTCTTTACCAGAAGAGATTGATGATAGCTGCTTCAGGCAGGAGGAGATGTTCAGAGGCTCGTGAATATGAATATGTTGTCTATATGATGTGTGGAAAGAACATCTTTTTTTTTTTGTGTCATTCAGAGCTCCGAGCAGACTCCCAAGCATTCGGTTCCAATGATCATTTGCCAGAGACTTCCCTTGGGAGATTAAATAAAAAAGTAATTTCTCTATGCCCCATGAATAAAACGAGGATAATGAATGCTGCTTTTCTACTCCAGATAGCATTGACATGCTCAAGAATCACATGTGTCACGGCAAATAAGCTAGCAAAAAAGAAAGAGGAAAAACAAAAACTTCAAAATGAATAATGAAGAGACACTTCATTTATGATAAAAGACCAAGGAAGAGTCAATCATACCTAACTCCAGCTGGTTAAAAAAGAAAAATACGAAGTTATATAGAAAAAGGAAAAGAGGATGACTGAACAGAATATACTTGAATACTTAAATACTAAGGTGTTTGGGTTTTTTTTTCTCAGGAAGCATGTCATTGATGAAAAGGTGAAAGAGAAAAAAAAATATCAGGAAGGAGCTGAATTGAGAAAGTCAGAAATGGCCAATAATAAATATTGAAGTTAACTTTAAAATAAAAAAAGTGAGAAACTATGACTGAAATGCTCAGTTTCTCTTTCTTTCATTTTATCTCGATCCCATTTTAAAAAATAGGTGCCCTATTGTCACCCTTACATCTTTTATGAACAGTTGTTGGTATTGAGGGCATATTACATCCTCTCCTCAGTATCTCTGTTATTTCACACTTTATTTTTTTTAGGCCCCTGCTAAATGCCATTTGCTGGTAGTGATTTAACACCGGTGAAGTTACTCAGATTGCTCCATAACTTCCTCTTTCCAGAGCTTGGTATCTGTCAAGGTCGTTCTCATTTCCAGTGATGACGATTCGCCGTAGGGACAAAATTACTTCTCTGATGATAAACTGATAGATAAAAGAGTATTCTTAACTCCAGCTTGTTCAGTTTATCGTTTTTCCTTTCCTTTCTCCATTAAATTGCATAAAAACACTGGCCTTTGTCAAAACTTACCACCAGTGACATCTGAAACACCACGCTCATTTCCCTGTTCCTTGCGACAATGAAATAACAGAATTATCTCAGAAAATGCTATTAAAAACATTGTAACCACTGAGATTACGAACCCCATCTGTGCTATTCAAGACTGTTAAGCATTCGGGACGTTGGTTTTATGGATTTTGTTTTTGTATTAGGTTACTTCGCTTTGCCCTTCAGTTTCACGTTGGTCTTCAGAGCTGTTATTTTGTTCGTCTTCCTCTTTCAAAAAGTCTGTTCCTTTTCAGCTAATAAGTCATCACTGCTATTTCTAGAAAAGTAATTTCTATTTTGATACACAGCCTAATTGCACAGTGATTACTAATTGAATGACTCCACTTTCACCTGCATGTATATCATTCGAGAGCTGACTTCTTCCTTGAAGAATGCCGAAATGAGGGCACACCCACAAATGGCCAGAGAGATCTAGAAGTTGCTGGCCCTTTTTGGCATACCTCCACCTACAATTTGACGCGTGTGCAACTGTTTGGCTCAATTAGAATCACCTTTCACTACAAGTATTGCTGGAGAAAATGCATTTACGCAATGAGTATCTGGAGAGGTGGGTCCATGCCAACCTCATGAAGTTCAACAAGGCCAAGTGCAAGGTCCTACATCTGGGTAGGCGCAGTCCCAAGAACAAATACAGGCTCGGCGGAGAATGGATGGAGACAACCCTGAGGAGAAGGACCTGGGGGTGCTGATTGATGAGAAGCTCAACGGGAGCCAGCAATGCGTGATTGCAGCCCAGAAAGCCAATCATATCCTGGGCTGGATCCGAAGAAGTGTGGCCAGCAGATCAAGGGAAGTGATTCTGCCCCTCTACTCTGCTCTGGTGAGACCCCACCTGGAGTACTGCATCCAGCTCTGGAGTCCCCAACATAGGAAAGACACAGACCGGTTGGAGTGGGTCCAGAGGAGGCCACAAAGATGCTGGGAGGGCTGGAGCCCCTCTGCTGTGAGGACAGGCTGAGAGAGGTGGGGGGGTTCAGCCTGGAGAAGAAAAGGCTCCGGGGAGACCTTAGAGCCCCTTCCAGTGCCTACGGGAGAGCTGGGGCGGGTCTTTTTACAAGGCCATGTAGTGATAGGACGAGGGGGAATGGCTTCAAACTGGAAGAAGGTAGATTTAGATTAGATATTGGGAAGAAATGTTTCACTCTGAGGGTGGTGAGGCACTGTCCCAGGTTGCCCAGAGAAGTTGTGGAAGCTCCATTCCTGGAGGTGTTCAAGGCCGGGTTGGACGGGGCTTTGAGCATCCAGGTGTAGTGGGAGGTGTCCCTGCCTATGGCAGGGGGGTCGGAACTCGGTGATCTTCAAGGTTCCTTCCAACCTAAACCATTCTATGATAAACCATTCACTTGGTTGACTCTGCTCATAGTTCAGTGAGCAGATCTAGTTTGGCGTCATCAAGTAAAAAAAAAATCAATTTCTACGATTTCGTTTCTTGATTTGACCGTGATATTTTTTCATGTATAGATCTGACCAAGCTGCACTTACTGATAAAATATAAAATCTTGT